CATTACTTTTTTGTGCCCTCTCAAGTAAAGTGGATGGACTGGAACATCGACTGCATGCCAGCTGGTAAAAGTGGGCCATTGTTGAGCCAGATCCAACAAACCCCTGCAGCCAGGTTTGAAAAGCTTTCCTAGAAGAGTGACTGCTGTTATAGCAGCAGATGCCCGTGGTTTTGGAATAAGATCTATCACATATTGGTATCGTAATGTTTGGGTGACTTAATAATTTTTTGGTATATAGAGGTCAATGATCAAATCAAGTCAGCTGTTAGTGAAGCTTTTTTTTTGTTCACGTGTCAAAGTAATGAGGAATTTTACGTGCCAACCTTCGTGATGACAAGTGACAATCTTTATTTTGTTGCAAATATCTTCGTGGAGTTTAGTTTTTTTCAAGTCATCATTGAGTTTAAACTTATGAGACATAGTGATCAGTGATTGGTGTACACGACTCTTCTTCAACAAAGTCCATATAATGAATGCAGACATTCAAGTGGAGAATAAACCACATGTGCTAAACTATGAGTGGTGCAGAATATCAAACAAACAAAACAAACAAAAAAAGATGTCTTTTAAGTGTTTTTTGAGACACCTGCCTGGATTTTGCGGTGTAAACTCCCAGGGAGTGACAAATAGTGACTTTAGCCTAGTAACCAGACAAATCTGCGAACTCATGTTTTATTTACTCTGGCAGATGTGTCAAGTCCCTTTCAGATTGATTTCCTACAGACCTGGCCCAGGTCAGGCCAATTATAACCATCTATCTGATATCGGGCGGGTTAGATACAATGACTGTACAAAGGAGTGCTGTTGTAAACAACCAAGATGGCTGCCACCGATGTGGAATGATCTGCTGTCTGGTCAGCATTAAACGAACTGGACCTGGGCAGCGGAGTATATACCTATTTCTAATAGGTTATTATTCTAATTCATTCTTCACCTTGTTTTAGTGTTTACTCACTCGAATCTGCTCACCATGCTTTTCCCTTCAGTTCTCTTTCCCCCACACCCACACGCACACCTACACCTCTAGTCTTTTAATGCAAACACACCGGCTTGATCTGCATCTTTCTGTCCATCTCTGCGTGTGTCTGCTCTGCTGTATTACCCCATCAGCAGTACATTTTATAAAGTCGCAGAAAAGACACAGAACTCCACAGTTCCATCTTTACAGCAGCAGGTGCACGGTATGTGGAGGAGGATTTTTAATCACCTAGCCTATCGAAACGACCGAAACACACTTCGTACTGAATGACATCTACTGGTGTGTTCACTGTTCACTGCTCGCTGTTTACCTGGTTCGTGCTTGTAATGTAATACCAGACAACTTCTCTATCTAATACTAATATAGGTCGCCAAATATACCTGGGCGGTGAAGTCCGTATGTGAGAAACACTGGTAACTTCCTTTTACTACCTGAATTAGAGACACAACTCACACAGGTGAGAGATGGCCTGAATTGTAGTCATTTTCTCCCAGTTTGAAAAGGCCATCCATCTATGCTGTTTCATCACCTCAGTATGGGCTCACGGTTTGGCTTCTGGAACAAGACGAGAGGATGGAGAGGTGAGGGAGCAAACACACAGGTATGTTTTATTGATCAAGCACAAGACGGGAGAAAGCCCGTGAACACAAGAATGAATAATGCATTAGACGAGGGGAAAGGAAACAGAGATCTGCTGAAGCAGTGAGGTGAATTCCGAGGCAACAGAAGGACAAGAGGAGACGCCGGGGTTTGGAGAGGGTTTGCCGTGTTTTAAGCATCCACATTTCCTGACTAATGGAGTCAGCAAGAAATGTTATGCTTATGTTTAAAGTGGTACAAATACCTATTAGAGGTCTGTATCCTTTAGCATTTTGATTGCAGGTTGTTATTTTTGTCACTCTGTCCAGGGTGTTCCAGCCCCACTCCCTACTATTTAAGAGCAATACTGAAAGCAAGACTCTTTGTGATCGTTTTGCATATGTATGTGGTCATTTTGCATTTCTTTGTAGCAATTTTGGGTTTCTTATGCATTGCTATAGGTCGTATCTCTGTCTAGTAATTTCTTGCAGTGACATTTTTCAGGTGAAACCCTGGGGCCCAGTGACCCCTTACGACCCCTGGCCCTGTGTCCAGTAGGCCTGCTCAGAAATCAATCTATCCATCCATTAATCTAGCTCAAGCTTAACCACATGCTCTGTAAACTGTGTTTTTAAGGTCACATCAACTAGTGGTATTCAAGGCTCATTTTCACCACTAGAATAGCTTATTTTCTATTTCATGGCTGTTGTACTACAGTAATAGTTTCTGAGCTATTAGATACTTGCACATGGTCATGCTGTAGAGTATCTGCTTCCGTTCTGTGAAAAGCTTGCGCACATTTGTTCTTGCTGATGTTTTAGTTGAAGAGAAAACTGTGGGTCCATTTTACGTAATGAGGTTTTAGTGGGAGTTTTTTCTTGCTGTCACTGAAGGCCTAAGGTAGTGGGATTGCCATTTTCATTTATCGTTTTCATTTATTGTTTCATTATGTGGGAGCTGTGAAGCCTTTTGAGACTGCGTTCAAGGGCTGTAGACATAAACTTGACTCATATCTTAATAAGAATGCTGAAACACTGAAAACAAAGGTGTAACGGTCCATAGGTTATATCTGGCTGAACTGCGACTGGAAAATGAATTAATATTACAAAGTTGGCCTGATTGAGGCACTATGGATGATATGCAGGACTGGGGATTTTGGAGCACATGACCCTTAAAGACCTTTTCTACACGCAATCACAATAAAATGAACATATGTAAAAATAAATAAATAAAAATAAATACTATTTTAAGTCAAGTAGCTTTAGTTATTTTCATGCCATTCATGTGAGCTGGGAGCCAGCAGGAAGCCAGCCAGCTCTGTCAGAGGAAGTCTCTATTAAGAAGGATTCTAATGTTCATGCCGAATGGATCAGAGTATGTTGCAGGTGAGCAACCTACATTGCATCCATGTGACCGTATGTGACACGCTGAAAGATGCCCACACCAAACATTAGTGTGTAGTTGTTGCAGCTAGAGGGGGAAATTATAATTTTGTTCAGTGATGTTCAAAGATTTGTACAGTCACTACACTAGGTACAGTAGTCCCTCAGGGTTTCCTCAACGTCTTCATTTCAGCTGAGTACAAAACTTGGTCTGTGCAAGCACTGTTTCCAAGCTAGTCCCAGTTTGTGCCTCTCGTGGATGACTATTATATTCAAGTCTCATTTTTCAAAAAATAAATGCGGGGTGATCTCTGAAAAACCCTGAAGGTGGTTAACAACCCTTAACACTGTTCTAAAAATGTTTCCAAAATCCCGAAAGACCATTAAGACATTTCCTTTCCATGTAGCCAGAAACAACACATGCCATTGCTCTTTTTGTAAAACCCAAGCAAAATATTGAGTAAGGAGATATGTCATTTTGGCTACCATCTCTGTTTGAATTTGGGAAAGGAGTTGCAACTTGGGAGACAGCTTAAACATCTTTTAATCTAGCATTTATATTTAGAAAATATTTCTATTCAGATGGCTAAAACAGTCTTTGAGCACAGTGGTAAGTGTTCCTCTAGGTTATTCAAAAATCAACAGGTATATATATTTCTGAAAAATGGATGCTTAGCTCTGTGACTCAAATGTAAATTTAATATTAGAGGCACAAACTGGGACTATTTATAAGATTCATGGCTCAGCAGCCACATGTTTGCAAAAGAGTTGTCACATCGTGACTTGTTCCTGTCGCTTTTCCAGTCTTTCAGCAAACTTAGCTGACAATGACGCTTAAGTCACCAGCGACGAGTGCTCCACATCTAAAATTTACACATGCGGTCGGCTGATGATCAGTTCACTTTGAGGATTCTGTGTTAAAGCTTTGCTGGTAGCCTGCATGTTCTGAACACTTTTAGTTGCAGCAGCAAAGTGTATGTTATTTATGCATTACTTCCAGTTGATTGTTTTCACTTTCAGTGCCATTTGTGTGATGGCCAAACACTAATCAAGAACTGCCATTTTTAACACAACCGTGTTTCTTTTGAAACAACTCCCTCTGGACATTTCAACACAAGACACAATACTTTAAAAATAGCAAATGTGGGGAAACTTTTAGGAAATATGTTTAAGTTTTTTGACTGGAAATGGCAGAAAAACTTTTGTTTGTAGGCAATGTTTTTCGTATCAGTTTTTTTTTAAGGCGATGTAAAGTTACCTGTAATAGCTCCACCTATTGATTGATCTGTGTAATTTCTTTTTGCTGACTTCAGGGAGAGATTTGAAACGTTTCCACACATTTGATTGCTCAGGGACTTTTGCTCTCTCATGTCCAGATTGTTTGAAGGCAGAATATAAAGAAGCAAAGGAAAATGCAAAAAGAGTTCCAGCACCTGTAGTGCTTGGACCTCAAATTGCAGCTGAAAACACCTCTTAAAGCATATTTCCTGTGGGGCTATTTTTATAAAAGTATGTCTCTGGTGTGCTTATAGCCTGGATTATACTTGATGGCCTAAGGTAGGAAGACAAAAAAACCCGTAATGCACAAAAGGCCAGAGGAGGCTTCAAAGACTGCAGATGAACCTTTGTCACTGGAGCACTGGAGCTCTGATTAGTGCTTGGGGGGGTGGGGGTGGGGGGGGGGACTTTTGCCCCAGGCCTGTCTGGAGGATCCTGTGAGTTATTCATTAAAATTCTTCAGACTAAATCTTTTTATTGTAGTTTGTGCAATTCTCATGTCCCATGTTAATCCACCCATTAAAAGAGCCACATGTTCCACAGTGCACAAATCTGCAAAGTGGTTAATTTCATTAGATATTTCTAATTAATATCCTATTAGTTAGGTGCTACAAAATATTTTAATGACTCCAGCATGTCTCAGTGATGGGACTATATAAACAATTTTACATGCTGATTCCCAGAATATTTCCATCGTCCCTCCTGTTTATCAGCCATTATTACAGCAGGATTACACATAAATCCCTTCAGCGTTTCCTGTTGAGGAATGACAACATGGCGTGTGCTGTTTAGTCGAGCCACAACATTTAATACACACCATCGCAGGAGACATGCACTTGCAGCACTTCACACTGCACTTTCCCAACTGTAGCTCTCATTTTTTAAACACATACAAACCATAAAATAATTTAAAACAAAACACATATTAAAAAAGGGGTTACATTTTTTTATACACGTTCATAATACTGATTCATAAAATGTATCACAGAAATTAGCTTTTGACACAGAGCAAACCATAGGAAACAACTCAGGTATTACACTGACACTGTGCTTGTTGATAGTTAGCAGAAAAACTGTGAACTGGTGACATCTGAGAGGGAATGTCACGGAGGACAAGCGCTGGAAATAAGAGTCTGTTGGGGGGGGGAGGAGGAGGAGGAGGAGAGGGAGGAGTAAGGGGGTAGGTCTATATCTGTCCCTCTCTGATGAGAAACAATCCAAGTGTGCTGAAGGGCAGAGAGGTCGATTGCTAGGCGTAGAAGGTCTCTACTTTCACTGACTGGCAGAACATCGTCATGGAGAAGACCAGGCCCAAGATCTGCACAAAAACAAGAAACAGATTGGACTTTATTGGGTTCAGATGTCCGTGTAAAGTCGCAGTGAAATGAAAAGGAAGTCTTCTGTCTCTTTGGCTCATTCTCTGTATCATAATGTACATCTGTTTGACAATAAATGCCAAAAAAGATAAATTTTCTCATACTGTTATCTTACTTTTATAATTATAGGGAGCATCTGTGCAATATTAATTTATTAAATATTGCACACATTGGAGTATGCGGTTGCTCTTCTCTTTTATTGCACATTGTATCTTAGCTCCAGCATCTCCACTTTTATCTAGTTATCAGTGATTTTTGATTCTATTTGATTACACCAAAAAGCTTTTCAGTAGTTTTGATCCATATAGTTTTATAGAAAAATGCAGACAAAATGCCATTAAAATGCCACTCTGTTGTGATAAATTCTTGTTTTCACTGAGTTAACATTAACATTTGTGTATAACAAAGCATTGCTTTTTTAATTTTACAGTTGGATTTATTTATTGTCAGTGTTTTTGTGACGTTTTTCTTTCTAAGGTGCCCTTTGATATCTAGCCAGGACATCAGATGTCCCATCTTACAGTTTTTTGGTTGATCAGTTCCCTATAAAACGACTATGACTAAGTAATTTAGTAATAGGTAAGAAACTAACATACAACATTTCAAACAAACAAAATACAAATGTATGATTTGTCACTTTAGTTATTGAACAGCAATGATACAATAAAATGTCAATGCAAAAACTTTACCCAATACCGCAGATTGACGTAGTTATGTAGTAGTAATGTAAACACATCTTATTCTCTCTGTTTTCAGCCTTTTTTCTCCCCCCAAAGAGCCCCCCTTGCCAAAATGGCCTCTTGAGTGTGTAAATCACAAAATGCCAGCTTTGTGTTGCGGTGCGTGCGGCCTACACAGAACGTTTGCAAAACCACTCTAGCTGTCCAGCTGGGGCTGTGTTGCAGCAAAGTTAAGATGACAACTTCCTGTGGTTTCTAAACTTTCTCCAGTGCAGAATACACAGCTGTCGTCATTAATCTGTAGTTATGTTTTAATTTTTCAGATGACGTCGCAACCATGAAATAATCTGGTCAGCTGGGCTGTCTGTCCAACTCCTTACCAGATGTTGGATGTTATACAGTGTTGTGTGACAAGATTTCTACAAAAATTACATGGAAATGCTGATGTAGATGCAATTTATTTTCACATGAAAAAATAAAATTTGTTTCATTGTATTGAATTGGCCTAACATTTTTATTCCATACATTGTACATAAGGGAGTCATGTCTTAACCAGTTTACTGTGTAACACTTCAAGGATGCTGTTAATAAGATCTGAAGCAGATATTATCACTTCCCTGTACACCCTCTGGTGTTACTCCCATCAAGGTCACAGTTGGCTCTTGAGGGAAAATGTGAGGAAACACTTCCTTGAACACTTCTTCCCAAAACTTACTACCAGGATACAGTTTTTCACACCACAGTTTCTTCACCATTTGTCAGAGGATGTTGGAAAACAGATTTTTGCCAATGTGGTGTCCTGAAACATAACTACCTTTCATTTCAGATTCCTGCATTTGTGTGAGCTAGTATATAAACACAAATGAGATATGTGTGTGTTTATTTGAAATTTCTATACCCCGTTTTTTTTATTTTAAGGAAATATTTTTATTAATACATAAAATATATAAATATAAATATAATAATAGAAAATATTCTTAGTAGGTTAGACATTATTTCCTATACCTATTCTCTGTGTCTAATGCTATTAAAATCAAATTTATACCGGGGTTTATCTAAAAACTCTAACTCTTTTTTTAATACCTAAAATACTATCAAAGAAGGATAAAATCCTTCCTAAAATGCTCTGAAACAAAAAGCTGTTCACCACCACTTATAACCACCACAAATAACTTAGCTACTGGTCATACCAGACCAAGTTAGACTGTAGCAGCTAAACCCCTCAATGCAATGAATTAAATATTCATAAAACTTTTCATTTTTTTTAATAAAGAAAGTGATATTTCTTCTTTCAAGTTATATAAACATGCATTCATTTCTCTGCCTTGCCTGAACATAAAGCATAACTGCACAATTCTCTGTATTGTATAATGCTGTGAGTCAGCTGGCAAACATCACAGATAAATCTTTTTCTGGTTTTCATTTTGCTGCACATAGGATTTTCAAAAATGGTAGTGAGAATCCAACGGGTGACTAAAAATGAGCCTACAGCGTCACAGGAGCCTGGTGTGATATTTCACCTCTCAGACTGTGGAAGCACATCACATGACACTTTGGTGGAAAAAAGATTAAACAATTTTATGGAAAGTCAGACCCTCCATTGTGCTCTTCAGTGGTAACACAAGAGGCTTTTATGGGCTCCTGCTGTCCAGAGGAATCCTGTGTTCAGTGCTTAATGCAAAGGATACTGGAAGGTTTATTTATCACAAAGTAAAAACCTCTGTCTGAGGCTGAAGTTAATGACTGCTGAAAAAAATAATTCCCACAACTTAAAAGTTATAATTACCTGAGTAAGTGCTGTGCATAGAGCAAAGATCCAAAGTGCCACCAGGTTCTCATTAAGCCAGTCCTTTACCCGCTCGTAGCACGGCTGTGAATCACATACAAAGAATAAGCAAACATTAGCCGACAAATGTAACCTCACTATTTAGATGTCCAGTGCTATATACAAAAGGATGCTATACCATTTACACTGAGTCTTCTCCTGCCGTATTAAGAAACTGTGATGGAAAATGTTCTTTTGCTAAAAGATCCCTCGTGGCAACATCCTTATCTCCCACTTCTCCTCCAGGCTAATATGCTTTTGGGAAACTTTTCCGAAAAGTCCCCGCTGTCCTTCTCTCCCTTCAGCTGTACAAACAGGAGCAATGTGAATACGCGAGCAGCACATACACCAGAGGCAGTGTTAAGACATGAGAATGGGCTGAATGTTTCATGTCTGACATTGCTTGAATGCATTCTGATGGCATCTTGACAAAAGATAATTCTTCTACCTCTCAGTGCTTCACTATTTTTTGTCACTAAGGCATGTTAGAATACATTTCAAAATCTCTCCACACTCTGTAAAATGTCCCTGAGCCCTGTGCCCAAGGGGCAGAAAGAAAAGAAAGATAATTATTAGTAATACAAGGAATACAGCAATGCCCTTCTGGGTCAGGGATGTGAGCAAGTAATAAAAAAAAGATGTTGGCATTAAAAGTGATGAGTGGCATTTGCGACAAGGCCCATGTGGCACATGGTTCCTTCACCTCTTAGACATTTTAAAGATATGTGTGCTAAACTGTATGTTTGATTATATTAGATACACTGGAGAAAACACTGTCTGGCATACTGTAGTAAAGGGAAAGGTGCTATCATAACAGGCTACGCCGCTGTTCTAATTAAATTATTAATTTCTGCAGACATGCCTGTGCTATTTTATAAATCTCATTACATCAAAAGGCTGAGTCAGAGCCAGGGAAACCAAACACAACCTGCTATGCATTTCACTACTGCCTGAAACATTGGGGAACCAGAAAAATATATTTTCCTTAGCACAAGGTGAAATAATTGTAGGCTGGATCAATATGGAAAGTCATGCAGTAAGCCAAAATCAAACTGCTGCTCAACTGCAACCCTCCTGGACCACAGAGCTGCATCTGAAAATATATAAATTCATTTTATTGTTTGACTTCCACTGCTCTCATAAGACCAGAAAACCTGAACCTGCTAGTCCCATTACACTACATTCTACATTCACAGTGCCACAAGCTTGTGATACAAAATAATCTAAGCTTTAGGCTCCACTTAATAGCTTTTCTGAGCTTTTAACTTTATTTACTTTATTGTTTATTCAGTCTCTTCAGTCGCTTTTTCAGAAATCTTAAGATGTTGAAATAGTTTTTGGCAAGTGTTGACTCCTTGTGACTCGAAACCCCTAGGCTAGAGCCCCACTGGGATGCTCTTGGTGGTCCGTGCTGTTTTAGCCGTGTTTGTCCTGTTCTTATGTGAGGCTGGATTCTCATCATCCATTCCTTGGCCTGGACTTCCCCCTGGATCTGCTGCGCCTCCATCTGTCTATCCTCCTGCTCACTGATAAGATGTTCCGCTCTCTGTAGCAGGCTCCTGACACCTTAACCTGGAAAAGGCCTCGATTGAAAGCTTTGGCAATGTAAACATCCATTTCCAGTGCCAATTAAGCCCCATTTAACTTCATTGAAAGCTGAGAAAAGCTAGTAGGTGTATAATTGTGCTTGGTTTATTTTGAGAAATTGATTGTTACCGAAAGTAAAAAATTAACTTCCATGCTCCAAAACAAAATAGGCTGTTTGTCATTGCCTTTCAAAACACCCTTAATGAGTGTTTAATAATATTGCACCTCTGTGGTTAAGGTTTGTTAAGAAAACTACTTAGTTCGGGTTAGAGACACATCAGAGTCATGGTCATGGAGTGACTTAAAGGATAGGTGTCTTAAAACAATAGTCAGGTGCCTATATGAACATTTATACAGGTTTTACTTGGAGTATTCCTTCCTTCTATTCACACTGGCAGTTAACAGATCCGTTCCAGTGTTACAGCCCTTTTGGTTCAAAATTCCCTCTTATGTTTTCCCCCGTGTTGCTGTGCTGTGCTATGGCGTTAACATGAAAAGGGAATTTTGTACTAAGAAAAAAATGTAACTTTGGAATACACTTGCTTCATTTGTATAACTTAGCTTGCTTCATATTATTGCTTTAGATCAAGGACACTTTGTCCCCCCATTTCTTACATTGGAAGTGCACTGGGAAGGTATAGCTTAATGGCCAGTACTGTATGTTCCTTTATCTAGAACAGCAAGACAGGAGTCCTGGAAGTCATGGTATGGCCCCCACAAAGCCGTGATCTTTACATGTCTATTTTTGAAAGCATTGATATTTTACAGCATTTTTTCTACAACTGCCTAGAACCATTGCACAGTACTGTATATTTAAAAAGAAAGGATTTGCAGGTATTATTGAAAGAGAGAACTGATATGCTTCAGTGTAAACTACACTATCTGAATCCTTGCTCTGCAGGGCAAACATTGATCAAAACACAAAACTAGCCAGATTAATTTGTTATCAAAATGTCTTTCAAACTAGAACGGCCGGTGGAATTCACAGGTCTACGTGAAGGCCAACAAGCTGTCCCCTGAAGGAGGTAAATATGCATAATATTGAAAAAATGTTCAGTGGTTTATGCAGAATCCTTTTTTCAGGAAAAGTAATAGAAAGACATTTTAAAAGGTTACGTCTTTCATTTTTTAAATTGAAAACAGCGGCAGTTTGGCCTTTTCAATGCTGGATGGACAAATTAAATCGAGTTGCAAACAATTGGAATAAGGGGTTTCTATTTAAAGCACTTATGACCATGATGGTATAATATTTAAGATCTGGAGAAAAAAAAAACAAGATTTACTGGAGATTTACTTGATTTACTTTACAGATAAATAAGATTTATAACTAGTTTGGTGTCAAAAAGCAAACTTGTCTCCTGCTACTAAATGTGTAAAAAGTGTCTTTGACCCATGATTCTTTAAACTGTTTTATCATAAAGATGGAAACAAATAAACACCACCATCTTTCTGAGTTTTATAATGATTATATTCAATTGTATGATGAGTAAATCTCACAAGATCCATTTAGTTGTTAGTTGTCATCTTCAGCAGCATTGTATCATACTAAATATGATGAGATGTATGAAACACTTGATCTGGAAGTTTACAAACCATGACTGTTTTTACAGGCAACATCTGGCACATTTGATATGATTTTTTAAAAGGGCAGATTTACCATTTTGTTGTATCAACTTAATAACATCTGAAGCTACACTGAAATCGCTGTCATTATTGTTCATCATCTTCACTCACTGTGATGTGCAGTGACTGCTTTAGTTCTGTTGGATGATTTAAGTAGACTACTCAGTGTGTAAAGTGGCCCTAACATGTTTTGACAATGACAGTGTTTCAACTTCAAAAGGTTTTTATTTTTCATTTTACCAGCCCTGCCATCACATCTTGTTGTGACACTTTATATTCATGTTTCATGTTGATGCCTCCAAATAATATCGCAATAATAATACATATTTGCACTTGGCAGAGAGGCTGGCTGCTGTTGGGTTATTCATCTTTTCTTTTTTTAGTGAACTGAATTAGTTACATGAGAATTTAAATGGTCCTTGAATTTAAATGGTCCTTGTGTTTATTAAATAGTTAGTCAGTTTCCTAGATGTACTGCTCTTTGAGAAAGTGATTGATGCATCAAACAGGTATGAATCATCTTGATGTGGATACGTCCATGCATGAATAAACTTTGTGAAAGGTACTCTAATCAATATTTTCATATTAAGAATTGAAGAAAGAACTATGTGTAATAGTTGTAAAAGGTGTCTCTTTGTCCAACCCACAGAATCATCAAAGCTATTGTCTTTCTGCTCATTTCTAATGCGTTAACGGGCTTTAACTTTACCTCACCACTATCATCAACTTCATTTCCAACTGCTTAAAAAGCTCATTTTAGATCATGTGGATGAAATATTGTCCCAAGTGGCTGTTAACACACTTTGGAGCTGACTGAAGATCACCAATAGATAAGCTAAACTGAATGTGCATCCAGTATTTGATGTATTCAAGACATGTGGCCTTGTGGGACCATAAATTGTGAAGAGGACAGGACCTTAAATCGAACCCTGAGGGATCCCACAGGAAACAGTGGAGTCAGGATGAGAATGAACTTCTGACACAGATGAGAACTTTTGGATACATCTGATGAAACTCAGTCAAAGGCTGAGTCAGAGATACCTACCTACTCTGTGTTTCAGCATAAGAATAGCGTGGTCTACTGTGTCAAAGGATGATATATAAAAGCTAGAGGAAGTTGCCAAGAGGAGATCATTAGTCAAGAGGGGTGATTCTGTCCAATAGAGCTAGGCCACTGAAACCAGACTGGAATTTTCAAAGATGCTGTTCTGAAGCAGTTCAGTAAAAATCTGTTTTCTGTAGCACTTTGGGGAGAGAGGGTATTTTAGAGAAGAGGCTGGACTACTGTACTGGAAAGAAAAAGGCCAATTGCCAGTTTTCAAGCTCTAGCTTAATTTAATGACCGAAATAATAGTGGTCATTAATTGTGTTAATGACAAGATTATAGGGAGAGTGTCAAGAGAAGACATTGTGTGTGACACAATTTGCTTCAGTTCAGAAATGGTAATGATACTGTAGTAAAAGTCAGTGCAGCAGAGTTTGCCAAGGGTGATGAACAGGTCACAAGTAGGTGGAGTAATTTTATATCTGACTGAATGTGTAATTAATACAAGCTGTCCCTACATATTATCTCACCACACCCAATTACCTCTCTAGTGACAACTTCCAGTCTTGCTAATCATGTTACATGCGCAGATTAAGCCATTTGCATACTGTCCTAACAATATCACTAGATGCACACAGTGTTACATATTCATTAAGACACACCTGCAAAAATGAGGTAGCTTGTATTTTACTGTTTTGACTGATGCAATCCCCTGTATACCCATTTCAGCTTTTTCACCAGCATCACAGTCATGCTTACACTCATACAACACGCAGTCCCTCTTAGCAGATCGGGCTGCTTTTTCACATGACACTATTGATTTGAAACTCAACCCTTTTTTTCGTCTGGGTTGACAGCAGCAAAGAAACATAAACTGTATACAAAATCTTTGTGGCCTATTAATGGTCTAAGAGATGTGAAGAGATGCTCCACAGTTTTTTTTTGTAGTAGTTAAGTATTTTAATGTTCATTGAACCTTGTCTGTCCTGTTGAATAGTTAATTTCCTGAGCTTATATCACAATCTCTGTATGGTACAGCTGCTTAAAATTTTAAATAAGACACTGATTATACATCAGATGTACATTAGTAGCACCAGCAGTCATGTCCTTCTGGACAGATGTGATTAATTCAATAGCAGTAATTATGAATATAAATCAATCAATGTCTTGATGTTTGCTTGCTAGTGCTGCGCAGCTAAGGTCTAAAAAAAGACAAAAGAAGAGCAGGCGTGGTTTGTGAGCCAAGATTATTTTCAATAGGTAGCTGGTTATTTGAATTATTAAAACTTCTTGGAAAGGACAGCAAATATGTTGAGTCATACTAATAATGGTGCCGAAAGGCTTTGGGATCAAACGAGGAATTATCTTTCGATATTATGAATTTACATTTAAATTAAATATGACCAACACTGTGATGACCTCACCCAATGTGTATCTTTTCTTCTTTGTTTTTAATTTTTTTAATGTGTACCTGAAATTATATTGGAACATGGTTCCCCAGTACAGGTCAGGTAGACCCTCACAAATATAGATAATCAGCTTAACAAAGTTGCAGTTTCTGCTCGCGCCCAACCTTCTACCATTTTTGACTTCTGGAGGTTTTTGGCGTGGATTTGTTAGTCCTCTCCCCTGGCCTATTATTACTTAGGTAATGCGCTACAGTCTCACGCCACATGAGACCAGACTGGTTTTGGGTTGTGTACATGCCAGAACTCACCGCTGTCCACCATGTCCCTGGGTTGTCCAGGCCACAGTTGTCGCTGTACTCCAGGCAGCAGGAGTCCGGCACACGGGTGGCATTGTAAACTTCAAACCAGTCTGTGTGGTTAGTTACTCCACAGCAGCGAAACTGCACCAGAGAAAGACAATGAGTCAAGAGAGTCAGACCTTTTATTATCATCACTAAAATCCTAATGCACAACATAAAATAAGCATCCTCAGCTGATGGAAGCTAAAATTATTTACCTGCCAAGAATGAGATTTAGTGGATAAAAGAATTCACATGTGCTCAATGCAGAAAACATTTCATCTTCCTGATATTGAACTGCACCCCTTTTGTACAATCCACATCTTATTTGTCTCAAAGCCCTAAAATCATTTTCTAACGCGCCTGCTTCTTTTATCTACATCTTCCCCCTTTGTGATTGGTATAGATTTTTGATAAGGGATCATGGCTTTCACCACAATTCAATTCATCAGTGTACTTCATGAAAAGATAAAGTGCCTCTGATGTTTTGTTCATTCAGTGGACTTTAATTCTAAACAGGAATAATGCTGCCTGAGTCGCTCCGCATGCCGCTTCGTGCACAGAATCAGGGATTGTGTGTTAATTTAAAACTCCCTCACCCGCTTAAACAATGGATCAAGATTGCAATTTATCATGAACTACAGCAGAATTCAAATGACCAGAAAGCATTTGAAGAATAGTTTTTAAACTTCGAGAACAAATCAAAGGCTAAAACTGCACAGAGTCGTAATAATCAAATGTTATCACCTCAGAAAGTTAACGACCAGTGTGGCGTGTGACCCTTCCTGATTTATTGTACCAGCACTTGGCGCCCTGCGGATGTTTTTTACTTCTTCGTCTCATGTATGTAGATCCTCTTCTATTCCATAAGTGGCCTTTAATAATATTCAGGGTGGACTTTGCTCCAGGGACATCTGCTGTATTATCTATTCAGTGACTCAGCATGTATGAAGGAGGCTTGGGAGGAAGAGCAGTGACAGAATGAGACCTGCCTTTTAATAGTCCTCTTCTCAGCCAGACTTCATGGAGCCCATACATACACACATCAGCACTGATCTGACAAGGAAAAAAGCACATTCACGCTTGCACACATACATTGTCAAACGGTGGCTCTGTCAGGCTCTGTCCTCATGTGTTCCTCCTGTACGCAGAAAAAAACCCCTCACGCTGAACATTAACACCCACACATGCAGTCTTTGCATATATTATTTGCATAGCAATACATTTCTCTGTCATTATTTATGCCTTTTCCGTCACCATACGCTCACGGACACACACTTACACACTTATACAATATGCCTTCCAGACAGTAGACCCATGCATGCACACAGAGGCACATTTGCTAATGGAACAAAACTACAAGCCATAAGACTGGATCTAGGATGTAAAAAAGGTCCAAAGAGCCCAGAATTCTCCAATCTATCATTTGATCTCGCCAAAAGGCATATACCAGCAGCAGCATCCGTCCTTTGCAATCCGTAATTCCAATTCTCCATTTCTCACATTGTGTCGTCTTCGCAGTGGAATTTAAAAAGATACATAAATAATACAATGGAAAAAGCACATCAAAGTGAGAGCTGGAAACAAAGATTACCTCAGAGAGTCTATGATGTTTGCATTAATCTCTCTGACAGCATTTTTGCGAAGCATTTAAACCAGAGACGCTTCGAGTGTTTGTTACTGTCGGCAAAAACATTTAACACATTTTTTCTGGATTGCCAGTATATTTTACCAGCCTGCTTGTAAATGTCTAGAGCCCATTAGCTACAAAAAAGATTTTACTGTTTTATTTAAAATTGACACAAAATGGAGAAATGTAAAATCAAATGGCCTTTCAACACTGAACTACTCCCGTTTCATTTAATGTGATCACAGTGGTACAAATGGTAAAACCTAGCCAATAGAAAAAGTAAGCATTGTCACAATGAATAATGCAGTCAAAACATCATGTATCTCAGCATGTGACAAGGTATTTTGCATGACTTGGCTTGCTAAATGGCACACAAGTTAATATTGAATGTTCTGCGATGTTCAGAGCAGGATGTTTGAGCACCATGACCTCAGCAAACTGTGACTAAGAGAAAGAAAAATCTTAAAACTTTGTGTTACATCTTCCAACTTGTGTTTTAGATCACCCCAAACACCACCACCCACCCCCTCCAGTGATGTCACATCTTACATCAGTTTGTACTATCATCCAGGCGTTGGTCAAACCCACATTGCCCTCTGCGCCGAAGAGCTGGAGGCCCTTCTTCAGATCCCTCTGGGCGTAGTGATCAATCTGAGAAGACAAGACAGGCTAAATGGTTGTATCAGACAAGAAAATAAGATCATTTTAACAACCTAATTTCAAGTTTGATTGAAGTATGATGGAGGACGCGTTCCTTTTAAGCATCACATTTTTGGATATTTTCATTTCAACAGCAGTGTATTATGTTAGAAGCGAACCAAGTAACACACGTTGTGGTTTTTAATATAAATTTTATGGCATTATCTTTATTTGACAGTTTAAATCATTTTCATGGTTAACCATTGTTTTATGTGGTAAACCCAAACCACTGGTTCACATGGTGGACTGCTTGTAAAAATGCATGAAATAGAATAGAAAATAATAAAATAGACCTTTTTCCGTTTTTTAATACAGCTGAAATCTTCCAGTTTGGGGATATTTTAGTACCATTTCTTCATTATATTGACTACCCATGATTGTACAAAGGATCCTTATGTATATTTTTGTTTACCGAATGTGTTGTGTGTGTTCAGCATAATTAAAAACACACACATTTTCTTGTATACAGCAAAAAATATACACAACATCTAATGATATCCCGTGGAAGACCGCCAGTTTACATGGTTTCAAGGTGGACTAGGTGGTCACATGGCAGACCATTTAAGCACCAGTTGATCTTAAACACATGGTTTTTTAGGTAGAACAATGTGGATGTTGATACCTTACTGTTTCTCCTGTTATCAAACCAAATGGACCGAGAGAGACTGCAGTCTGTACTGATGCTCATGTTTCCTCCAGTGTTCTTACATGGTATTAAGACTAATAAACTGTGATAGAAACAAGTCCACTTTGCCGAACTTAAAGGAGCTGAATTGGATTTGCTTTGATTGAACCAACACACTGCATAATGGCAGGTTACTGAGCCACTGTTCAATAAACAAGCTACATGCAGATCCATGTTCGTTTAGTTTAGAAGCTCTGGTTCAGCAGTGTGAATCTAAACAAACAAGATAAAATACATTTAACAAAATCAGCTTTTCCAGTAAGCTTTGAATCAAAGAGAACAAACTGTATGTGTGAACACAGTCACAGAGATAAACATGCTTAAATACACTGAAGCTTTGCAGTTGCTGAATCTAAAATACATTCATTTAAAATTAACAATACAATCAGAGAGCGTGGGCGCTATGTACAAACAGCAAACACAAACTCCACACACACACACAAGCTGCTCAGCCTTGTTTACACATTTACATGGTCCATCCCATCAGACATCAATTGCATGGATCTCCACTGACCTTGCTCTCTCTTGCAGCCTTTTTGCCTGTGAGGCGCAGCACACCAAACACTTGGTTAAATCTCTGTCTTCAAACACTCACACAATGAATATGGCCTTAATTTTATCAAACAACATTAAATGTTGAATATGGATTGGAATATATACATTTAGTTATATTAGGGTGTGAACAGGGTAAACTGTAACATGGCAAAGCTTTCCTACGGATTTTGGTCACTGTAATGTGAGATTTCCATGAAACAAAAGTCTTTTTAATTAAGCGGTACTAATGACAAATAATGAAGTTCTTTACAACATCTAGATGTTAAGCCCACCCATAATACACCAGACTGGATTAACACACCACCTGCTGGGCTGTTATTGGGCTTCCCATTTTTAATCTGGAGGTTCTTGAAACTACAAAGCAAAATTAGTTTCTGAATAAATTTATGAAACAGATCATGCAATTGCAGAATCCTACGTAAAGGTAGAATAAGAGTGCTATGGAGCAATATTTTTATGAGTGGGTCACCATTTACTTTGAACGTACTGTACAATGAAGTGGTGATGCAATACATATTCCTGCAAAAGATGTCACATCATTCTGTTAATTGACAACTGCTGATAAAAAAAAAAAAGTGAAAGAAATGCAGAAATGTGCCAGCACAGCTAAGAATGAAGAATACAGCAAGTAAGCAAATTAGCAAACATGGATGTAAACTATGCCGGACTATGCAGAAAAGTCTCCTTTGCAAGTGTTTGATGAAGAAAGAAATCCATTCAGCAGTTTCCACTCAAGGAAATACAACTTGTGAGTGAACGTCATGTCACATGATCTTGATCTTGACTCTCCTATTAGGCAACTGTTTATGCAATCAATCATCGATTTAAGAGGATGCCTCTTTTCTTGTAATCTGTAATAGAGGAGACCACATAAAGAAAATGATAATAGAGCAAGAAATCAAGAAATGTGATGAATGAACAAACAGTAAATGATTCATTGTACTTCCTGACTGTTTTTGATTGCAGTATTAACATTCCAAGTAAATTCAATGTAGTTTTTGAACCATTTGGACTAAATGCGCGGTTTGGGGCTTCTCTGAAAGATAACACTCTGGAGTGTCTAACCCAAAAGTCAAAATGACTGTAAGTGCTACTGGAATTGATTAATATAAGTTTGAACACACTAAAACTATTATATTTTTCATTTCCGATTGAATGTTGCTCTGTGTGATGTGTGTGCAAAGACAGTGAAATACTTTGTCTGTCACAATAATAGGATGATGTTATGAAGAGTCAGTTCTGAGAAGGATATTTTTATTATAATTAAAGAATATGACAGCAGTCTGATGTCTTGTCATTATGCAGCTATTATTTTGAATTGGTAAGCCTACTCCTTATTTCTCTCATAAATACAGAAACGGGAGGGGGAAGGTCACATTAAACTAGAAATAAAATATGTAAAAAGTATTGATCACTACCTACCACGGCCCTGCTTCTTACTTAAAGCTGGAGATCGTTATTTTTAGAATTTTATTGGCTACAGGAAGTGCCAGACATCGGTACAATTGCTTGCAATTGGCTCAGCCTACCCAGGAAATTATAGGGGCTGGCCCTTCCTTACAGCGCGGGCGCTCATTGGCTGCGAAAGGGACATGTGAGCTCCTATTGGGTCGAATTTGGTGTCACTCGAAAGGTCAGAGTTCAACAGCTAATTTGAATACAAGCTATAGTAGTTGTTTACATTCAAATCAGAGTTATTACGGTTATAATAACATACAGCCGGGTCTGCTGGCAAATATGAAACGATGCGGCAGCAGTCCCTGGGGATTTATTGATGGAATAATGTGTTTTGGAGTAAATATTTTACTGGATTGGATCGTCTGGACGCTTGACAACGTAGCAAGACCGTTTTTTGTTGGAATATAATCTATCGGTGGATTATAATGAGGCTTCATAGGTGAGTCGCGTCAATTTTGCTTGTACTGGTTGGTCTGACAGAGGCGCTGATTGTACCCGCTGTGGTGATTGTATCTTGAAATGCTTTGCATTGGTTGAATCAGGGGGATTTTAGCTTTCAAACGCTGTATCATATGCGTATGAATGTAAACAACTACTATAGCTTGTATTCAAATTTTAATTTAAAGCCCCTCCAGCCAGTTTTAACTGCTGTTTTTGGTTAACGTTCTTTCTCAAACAGAGAATGGGGGTGTGGCTAATAGTCGGACGTAATACATTACCATGACAACCACAAACTGACCGGCTGGAGTGTTCACTAACGATATGTTGCGTTAACATCACTACCTGTAAAGTTTAGTACACTTTACTGTCTGGCAGGAGTAGCTATTACTTACCCATGATAGAAACTAATGTGCGAGTATCAGCTGTTATCAATCATACAGTCGATGGTCCTGTCACACGATAACTACAGTTACGTTTTATGGTGCGCTTAACGTTAATTTACCGCGGGGGTGTGGGGGGTCTATTACTCTGTTGAACTCTATGTAAAGACTTCCGACACCGTTGCCTCCGCCGATGCATTGGTAAAGCGGCCGTCAGTAAAATGCATGTTGCAGACTGTGACCTCAAAGCATTTCAGGTGCATGGTGGTGCATGGTGGTGCATGGCGGTGCATGGCGCCGAAAGTGAACGAAAACCATGACTGACCGTGACAAAGCATACACACAGTTGCACCCTCAGCACTGTCAAAGTGTTGACGTTACTTCAAAGGATGGCAGTTTAACTGCAACAACTGACATAAATACCCAGGTCCGTACATACATGCTTACTACAAGTATAAAAGAGATATATTCTCCTGAGCTTTAACATACTTCTCAAAAGTATACTTTGAATAAATTGGTAATAAATATATACGTAATTAAACTTTTAATAACTATGCTTGAATAAAAGTTTTTTTTTTTTTTTTTTACAACATTTTAGTCTATTTATTAAAAATATATTTATTTAACTCTTAGTACTATTTAGGTGTACTTTGTGGAAGTACATTGTTAAACAATTACACTTTTAGTGGGTTAAAAATATATTTATGCCAAACATGCTTCATTGTGTAGGCTACTGCAAAATATTGTAATTATTTATGTAACTGCCACATGTTTCAGCCTGATTTCCAGAAGTATGATTTTTAAAACATATTTTTTTAACATTAAAATATATTTTTCAAAAGCATATTATTTCTTTTTTTTCGTTTCTTTTCTTTCTTTTAATTTTTTTTAATCAGGTAAATAGCTAGTTGAGATCAGAGACCTCTTTCATAAGGGTAACCTGGCCTAGAAGGAAGCAGCACATGTTGTTAACTTAACAAACAACATATAGAAATAAGCATACTTTAAATCATAATGTAGTTATATTTGTTTCTGTTTGTAAACAGTAAACACATGTGTACAGAGGGGCGAAGTGTGCAATCAGAATCAAGGTTTTCAAATCGACGACCCAATCACACAACGTGAAAGTCCGCTTCACAAAAGTTAACGTGTGAACTGTGTTGAGAGAGGGAAGCTATTTCTGTCAGGAAATCATTTTGTTTCTCTGGTTTCCTTTGTTTTACTTTACTGACTCGGACTTGGGAAAAGTGGACACCACAGACATAATAAGAAAAAAACACAGAAGAGAAGAATATCCGGTCACCTCCTTGCAGAAGTTAAATGTGAAAAGAGCTAAAGAGGCGTGACTGGCAAGGACAAGCAGGAGAAGACAGACGCAGAGACTGCCAGCAAAAACGTCTTTCTTGGTAAGTTTATTATTGTTAGCAAGACAA